GCTTTTCTGTTGAGTGCTTGTTCAACCAGGCTGTTGGTGTTGGTAACCCTGCATAGCCATCACATTCTGGTAGGATTCCAGTTTCCTCTTCATAAATATTCTAAAATTGTTCCAGCAATATTTCTGATATTTGTTGGTAGCAGGTTGAATAGTCTTGGTCCACGCATGTTGTCACTGGGTCTATTTTACACTTCCACATCTATCACAAAGTAACCAATTACGTAAACAAATAATACTTTTAATTTAAATCATCAGCTTATTTAAAACATACGAAAGAATTAGAATATTAAGAGAAATAAATTGTCAAAATATAGTATCGCAGGGGTAAGCAAAGGTATCAGCTGACGTACCATAAAGAGGACGTCAACTAAAGTAACATAGACAAAGGCGTCAGCTAACGTAACATAAAGACGCCAGCTGTAGCTTGGTGCTTGTGCATGGTTGAGTGACATTACGGCGTCCCTGGGGGAAGGTGAGGACACAGGATCGATCCCCTGCATGATTTTTACCATTGTTATTTATGTGAGAGATGGTGAGGGTGGTGATGACTGCAGTGTGACCAGGTGTTCCTGTGGAAGGAGGGAGGGATGGTGGGAGGTAAGGAGGGAATGATGGATTGAAGAAAGATGGATGTAAGGTGAGAGGGAAGGAGAAGGGAGAAGGGGATTGAGGGAAGGGATGGTGGTAAGTAGTAAGGAAGTGATGGATGGAAGAAAAGAGGAATGAAGGAAGGGAAGATGGGAGGAAGGGAGAGGAGTCTGGAATGGTGCAAGAAGTGTGGGAAGGTTTAGGAAGGAGTGTATAAAGGTTTAGGGGTGTGTGGGGAAGGTTAAAGTGATGTGGGAAGATTTAAGAGGTGTGGGAAGATTGAAGGGGTGTGAGAAGGTTTAGGAAGTGTGGAGTGGTTAAAAATGTACGGGAAGGTTTAAGGGGTGTGGGATGGTGAAGAGATGAATGAGGGAGGGAGATCATTATTCTATTTGCGATTGAAGATGTGTCTTAGTCAGTTTTTGTGTGTTTGTGCGTTTGTTAGTATTCCTTTGTCACTGATTATGTGTCTGTGTGTTTGTCACTGGCCCTGTACTTGTCAGTGATTTTCAAAATTCTTTTGTGTCTTTGTATTTGTTAATATTCCTCTGTGTGTCTTTCTCATTTATCATGTATGTGTCTGTGTTTCTCACTGTTTCTCTGCGTATCTGTCAGTGTTCCAGTATGTGTGTGTGCGTGTGTGTTTCTTAAGGTTCATTTATGTGCCATGTATGTTTCAGTGTTCCTGCTGTGTACGTACAGATTTCTGTTTACAAGTCATTATTATGATCAGATCATTGCCTCTCAGAGCTGCGGTCGAGGGCCTCGACCTGTTGTCAGTGGCTGCTGCTTTCAGCGAAGTTGTCTTGATGCTGGTCAAGGAATTCTAGTCTCTTTTTTTCCCTTCTTTAAAAAAAAAAACCTTATTGCCTTACTAAGTGATGTCTGACCCTTGCGGGCTAAGTGCTTCGCTATAGATATAATGATGATAGATCAGTTTCGCTAATACTCAAATTTTAAACAGTCCGTCCACATCCATTTTGTCGAACCCTCCGTGTCTCTGTAGCCAAGAAGGAAATTGTTAAGTTTCTTCCATCAGTTTCTGACCAGCAGGGCTGTGGTTCGTACGTTGGACTGCGCGTGGCCAACAGTAACGTCCTAGTTGATCAGACGTTGATCCACCAGGAAGCTTGGTCTTCGAACGAACCTCGGGGCCGAGTTGACCCCGGAAAAACATACTTCAGGTTTCTTCAACTATGTCGTCAGGTTCTGTTGCTTTAACTCTCTCTCTCCCCCTTGTACAGCTGCCTTAGCTACGTAAATAGTCTGACTGCAGTTCTCCAGATTTTCAGAAACCTCTGAATATTCGTGATCAGGTGTGGGCTTCACACTGTTTTGCGTTCTGTGATGCTGGGTATATACAAGCTGTTTTGAAGAAATCTTGATTTAGGTCTCGTCATGTGCCACTGAGGCTCAGTGATACATCTGGCATTGATGTTTCCCGAAGATAAGTTTCATATGCTATACTCGTAGTTTCTGTCCGCCTCAGGCTGTACTCTGTCTCCGGGTTTCTCTTTTCTCCCCGACTTGCATGAACTAACATTTGTTTACGTTGAACTGCAGCCTGTTGGACACTCTTGCAGCAAGGCCAGGGCTCCGTGTTGCCATGTTTGTATTCTTCTCGTCATCAGCAAACAACGATACGTCAGTGTTAGACATGTTCACCTCCGTGTCTTCATTCGTGTTTCCGAAAAGGACATGGCCAGTGTGACAGAGGGAGAGTTGGAGGAGGATGAGGACTTGCATGATGAAGCTTGAAAGAAAGAGGAAGTCAAATAGTGATAAGAGTTCATGGGAAAGAGCCACGAAACTACTGTTCAGCTGCCGCTTCCTAGACAGTTGATATCAGGATAGTGAAGTAGAGGGCTCTCTCCACACCCTCCACTCCATCCACTCACTCTCCTGGCTTAAAAAAATAAATGAAGGCAATTTACAATGCAGATAAGCATGAATATTAATTGTACAGGAAGATGTATGACTACGATTACTGATACTAAAATATCAATAATAATTAATATAATTGTAATAATAAATATTTTAAAACTACTATTTTTAAAATTAAAATATTGTACTTGTTGGGAGTAATACCTGTAAGATGCTAATTTTTTATCGGTAATCGGTAGTAACTAGAAAATCTACGGCTTATCTTCATGTTAACTCACTCATGGAGGGAGAGACAGATGAACAGAAAAGACCGGAAAGCAACATCCTTAAAACTAACACACCACATTCTCTCTCTCTCTCTCTCTCTCTCTCTCTCTCTCTCTCTCTCTCTCTCTCTCTCTCTCTCCCGGGGAGGGGAAGCTACTTAAGGCAGCGTGCATAACAGGCTGAGCTACTCAGTAATAAAATTTAATTGGCAACGCCCCCTCCCACCTCTCTCGTGAATACCTGATGAGACCACTCAGAGCTCGCCTTGAAAGGGCTGCCTAGGAGGAGGGGCGAGGAGAGAGAGAGAGAGAGAGAGAGAGAGAGAGAGGAAAGAGAAATAGGCCAATAAGCCTCAGAGACTACGGGTGCGTATGGTAATTACGGCTTGAGGGAGAGAAAAGTGTATTGTGGTCTAAAGTGAGCAACCTAGACTCTGGCTTGAGCCAGCTAGTTAGCTAACTAGTTAGATACTGAGTAAGCCAACTAGCCAAGTAACCACACAGACAGATACCCATCCTTCCATCTATTTAGCAAGCCAACTCGCCAAGTGTTCATGCAGGCATAAAGCCATCCCCTCCCATCCATTCATCTATTCAGCCATCCAGGCTGTCTGCCGACGGCTAATAAGGTTGTTACATTGAGATAGTAGGTATATTGATTTGATATATTACACGTAGAGGGTCAAGGCGGGGAAGGGTAGAAGACGTGGTGGTAATATATTCATTGGGAAGCGCTAAACCAGGAAGAGAGAGAGAGAGATAGAGAGAGACAGAGAGAGACAGAGAGAGAGAGAGAGAGAGAGAGAGAGAGAGAGAGAGAGAGAGGGGGGGGGAGAGAGAGCAGTAATCCTGGAAATAAAACCAAAATGAATAAAATAAGCATTCAAGACAGTTTACTTAGAAAACTCCTTCAATAAAACGGTAGACTGCCTGCTGCTTTACTTACAAAATATTTTCTCCTGGTGCCCAAGCTGCCGCCAGCCAAGATAAGGATTGTGGGGATTGACGCTTGGGTTGGGAATGAGTGGGGGAAGGGAGTGAGATGGGGAGAAGTTAGTAAATGAAGGGAAGAGGGTGTGTGTTAGGGGATTTAGATAATGGGTAAATGTAGGGGAGGGTGTAATTTAGAGAATGGAGAGGGGAGAGAATAGGGGTAAGGGAAAGGAAATGTTGGGGAGTGGGGGGAGGAAGTCTGATGGGAAAATATGGAGGGGGAGGGAGCTGGGAGAGGAAAATAAGGAAGAAATGAAGAAAGCGAAAGATGCTTTATTACCACCATTAACAAGTCGAGTCGAGTCGAGTCAACAAAGTTTTAACATTGCTTGGGTACAGTGTACACAGATTTGAGTACAATTATATCCTGCCTTACACTTAAGTACATCGTGCACTACCTTACCTTAAAACTGTACATTCAGCAGTACTCTACCTAACACCTGAGTACATCCAGCAGTTCTGGATTTTCTAACTCATTTGCATAGGAATTTTATCCTGGCTGCTACCCACAACAGTGGAATAACACACAGGTACCTATTGACTGCCAGATGAGTGGGACCAGCAGGTTGAACGTGGGTCTAAAGAGAAATGAAGGAGAGGTTAGGAGGAAAATGAAGGATAACGAAATGGGGAGCGAAGTTTGAAAGGCATGAAATATGAGGATCAGGGTGACTGAATGTCACATGAGACAAGAGTGGAAGCTGTGTTTACTGACACACACGCACGCGCGCGCACACACAAACACACACACACACACACACACACACACACACACACACACACACACACACACACACACAACACACACACACACATACACACATACACACATACACACACACACACACACACACACACACACACACACACACACACACACACACACACACACATGAGGTCACCCTAAGAGTCAGTATTAGTGTTCGAATTCTTCATCATATGTATAACAAACCATGACAGACACGACCCAAACTTATGCATTCTTGTTTGTTTATGATGCTGAGGTAATGAGAGGATTATGAATACGGAAGGACAGATTGAATATAAAGTATTGAACAGACTGTATAGGTGATAAAACAGGTAGTCGAGAGAGAGAGAGAGAGAGAGAGAGAGAGAGAGAGAGAGAGAGAGAGAGAGAGAGAGAGAGAGAGAGAGAGAGAGAGAGAGAGAGAGAGAGAGAGAGTGCCTGTGTTGCATATATAACAATAGCAAATACTTCAAGGTTATTTACTCTGTCATGCCTTAACCTTCCATATTTGTTCATTTCAGCTCTGGCCAGCCTGGACAGCGGCACCAAAGGCTGCATTGTAGTGGAGGATGCAGCCAAAGTCATCGCCGCAGGTGCCGACACGAACGCAGCTGAGACCACCACCCGACCAACTCAAAGTAAGTCGGGCAGAAAGCACATAATGAAACGTGACTAATTTTTCTAAGTAAGATCATGTCCTCTGGATTAACACTTTTTTTTTTTTGTTAAATTCTTAACTGTCCGGAACGACCTTAGGACGACAGTAGTCGTAGATCTCTGCCAGATGTCGTCCTAATATTGACGTTAGGACACGTGACTGACGACTTCGGACGTGTCAGTTTTTCCGCTCAGCTTACCACTAATTCCAAAAAAAAATTATTGAAATTTTTATTCTATTCTTCCAATAAAAATCTTTATTGCAAGAAAATTATGTAGTGTTCTACTGTTTTAGAGAACTTATTAAAATAAATTTAGAACTGACGGTTCCGCAGTCGGTGCCAAAGAACAGAACTTTTATACAAGAACTTTGGAAAGAGACTCCATGTTGCTGGTGATGGTCATGTTAAGTGCTAAACCCATGTGGGTCATTCAGTACAGGACGTGGTGGGAGGCTCGATTCTCCTTCTGCTGAGTGCGAGACAGATGCGATTCTTATCTGTACTCAGGATTTTAATCTGGTGGGTGGGGGGGCTTAAAAAATCTTAGGACGCTGTAAAAAAATCAGTAAATCTTCTTTATAACATTTAATTTGTGGATTATATGTGAAATTTCTTGGTGTTTTTGTGGTCACTGGTCAATATAAGGGAGTGAAAATTGACCTTTAATTAAAAAAAATGGAAAATATTTACCTCCGGGGAAGCTTCGTCCCCCTTAACCACTCAGGGGAAGAAATATTATAGATCGGAATATGTACCAGAAAATAGTGACAGCGAGGAGAGCAAAGAATTATCTTTGATCTTCAATTGAGGCAGAGAAGCAGGATGAAATTAGCATAGGAATATGTAACCAGAGGAGCGCGGAAGAATGAAAAAGTCACAGCTCCTTGGCTGGAACATTTCACCAATTGTGACTTGACAATGGTCAAGGACGGACCGAAACGTCGTTATGAGGTTCCACTCCTTATTTAGGGATATCAGTGAATTGTATGTAGGAAGTCACAGTACACTACCGGCAGGTACTCACGACTAAGCAACAAATTTAATCATTATTTCAGTGCTTTACACTATCGAAAATTTGACTGAAGACGTTTTTCCAACCAGTGGCTTTCTCGGTTCATTACATAGACTGTACACGGAAGACAGTAGAAGATTAGATAAATCAGTCACTCGGCCTTGACTGAACACTTACCAAGACTAAGGGACTGATTACCTCATCTTACAAGGTCTTCTGTACTTAATCTCTGCACTGAGAGAACCGCTGATCGGCGAAACCTTCAAATAGATACCCAAGTGTTGCACACCAGTCTTATTTAACTAATTTAATATAAAGTGAAACGTTTCGGTCGATTCTGAACATCATTAAATGAGAAGAATATAGAGAGTGATTGAAGACATCAAAACATCAGATAGTTTCATTTCAATTTGTTGTTCACTCGGGACATCAGAAGGAAGATGATGTTTAAAGATGATAAGAATGCACACACACACAACCACACACACACACACACCACACACACACACACACACACACACACACACACACACACACACACACACACACACACACACACACACACACACACACAGGAAGAGGTATGACAAAGCTCGGGAAGCAGAGAGAGAGAGGATCCAGTAGCGATCAGTGAAGAGGCGGGGCCAGGAGCTGAGTCTCGACCCCTGCAACCACAATTAGGTGAGTACAATTAGGTGAGTACACACACACACACACACACACACACACACACACACACACACACACACACACACACACACACACGCACGCACACTCAGAAGCATCTCACATTAAAAATACCTCTCTCTCTCATTCTCAAGAGCATTTCTTACGCACATACATTAAAAGTACCTCACATAAAGTGCCTCAAAAACCCTTCAAGTATTCAGAGTTCTTCAGTTATTCAGTAATCCGTCATGCACACTAGATTTCTTCATTCACTCAAGAGTCTGTCACTCTCTCCATAGGCCTCCAGTCGACAACTGGAGTTGAGTGTTTGGAGATCCTAATTGGATGACTGACCCCAACACTGAAATACTGTGACACACACTGAGAACTTCTGCGTCACTATGACAAACTGTGAGACACTTTCACAAACTGAGAGACACTGTGACACACTCTGGTGCACTCTGACACACACTCACCTCACCGTCGTAAGTAGCGAAGGGGGCAGAGGAAGTGCCCAGGATGACTTTTTTTTTTGAAGCAGAGGAGAAATGCTTTTTTTGGGAGGAGACAGTTGAAAAAGCTTGTATGAGATAAACTTTGGAATATTTCTTAGTTGGTGTGTGTGTGTGTGTGTGTGTGTGTGTGTGTGTGTGTGTGTGTGTTTGTGTGTGTGTGTGTATTCGCCTAGTTGTACTCACCTAGTTGTGGTTGCCGGGGTTGAGTCACAGCTCCTGGCCCCGCCACCTTTTCACTGGCCGCTACTGGGTCAATCTTCCCGCTTCATGAGCTTTATCATAC